AGTGCTGTGGATTATTGTGATGTTGTTATCAGCTCTCATTCTGACGGCACCCATTCACTGCAGAGCACCCATTGCTGAGACACTGATGCAGTGCTGCATTTCTCCAAACCTGATGAAGAAACAAACTCATCCTGATCTCGAATGGCACATTGTCAGCACTTTTTCACTATTCCTTTAAGCCACAGAAGCAGCATGTCCTGTATCTGAATGAGTTACTGTGTGATTATGTAAATGCGGTCGAGGGAGATTCAAAGGGCGTCAGTGGATCTGTCTGAGAAACAAACATGTTGGAGTATTTGTGTGGGTTCAGACTGTGGGACCGATGGAATCCGATGTTTGTGTGTGTTATTTATTTCATCAAGAGCGTCACATGATGAGAGTCCAGCAGGTGTTCATGGACAGATCATTTGTTCACTGCATTATCCAGAGATTCTGCCTTTATGTAATTCTACTGAGTGACTTCAAGATGAAAATGCATCCCATATATACTTTTTTTGATTGATATGCATGATTAAATGTGCTCATTTACTGCTCAAATGATCCGTTTATTCAGAATCTTACATGTTATTATGTGTCACATGTTGTTTTATGAGAATGGAGGTCAGTACGATGACACACAGATGAAAGACTGCGTTTCCCATCATCCTCTGCTGAGACACCGCTCTCATCGGTCTCCACCTGTGCAGGTGAGTTAATGCGCTCACACATGTTTTTGTCGGCCCAAAACCCAGAAGCAAGCTGCATTTGAGCACTTCTGATTCCATCATCCTGAAGTCAATGATTTTTATGAATGAGTTTTTGGTTAAAAGCCTGAAATAAGGTTGAAAGAGCTGTTGCAGCTTAATGTTGAAGCCATATGATGGTGGTGTAGTCTAGCTTTTTACTTCTTAAAAGTTACTTAAAAGTTATGATCATGATGAATCACAAACTTTTGTTGGCCTCAGAGCTGATATTCTCCATTAATCGAAAAGCTGATGGAAAACAGTCCTGCTGGTGACGCGAACTTCAGAAATACATCATCACCGCAGTGCTTTATTACAATAACAAACATGTATTTTGTGGAGCTGGAATATTACGGCGAGTTGTTTAGCATCAGTTGAACTGGAGAGAAATAACTGCAATCCTCTCGTTAAAGGATTAGTTCATAAATGTCTATATATATATAAACATGTATTTTGTGGAGCTGGAATATTACGGCGAGTTGTTTAGCATCAGATGAACTGGAGAGAAATAACTGCAATCCTCTCGTTAAAGGATTAGTTCATAAATGTCTATATATATATTTTATTTTTTAGAAATTGAGCGATGGATTCGCTACATGAGACTCTTGTTCCTCGGCTGGGATCCTGTGGAGCTCTTTGAAGCTGCACTGAAACTGTGATTTGGACCTTCAGCACACGTTGGTCCCCATTGAAGTCCATTATAAGGAGAAAAACCCTGGAATGTTTTCCTCAAAAACCTTCATTTCGTTGCGACTGAAGACAGAAAGACATGAACATCTCGGATGACATGGGGCTGAGTAAATCATCAGGAGATTTTTTTATTCTGGAAGTGAACTAATCTTTTAACTATTCTTTGACTTTGAACAGTCCAGAAAATTAAATGTTCTGATTTAGTGTCTGAGTGAGTGAGAGAGAGAGCGAGAGAGAGAGAGAGAGAGAGAGAGAGAGTGTGTGTGTGTGTTCATGGAAACCCAACGTTTGTGTGTGTGTGTGCACGCGTGTGTGTTCTCTCTCTCGTGGCATTTTCCAAGTCAAGCATCACTGTTAGTTGGTCATTTGAACACACCCCTAGTAACCACCTGCAACACCCTAACAACCACTCAGAACACCTTAGCAACTGCATAGCAACAACAGTATCAACACTGTTTTCACAGGCAAACACCACTTGTATTTAAATATTGCATTGTCCAAGTCAAGCATCACTATTACTGTTGTCCATAGTAACCACCTGCATAGTAACACCCTAACAACCACCCTAGCAACTGCATAGGAACGCTATCATCACAGTTTTTCACACTCATATTCTCTACAAGAAAAAGAAAGCTAGTTGAGAGTGATGTTAGATGTCACTTAATAAACACAGACACAAAACCAGATTCAGAGCGTTTGAGACTGATGCTCGTTTCCATGGCGTCACCGTAGGACTACATCAACAGCCCATCCATCCTGATGTCTCTCTCTCTCTCTCTCTCTCTCTCTCTCTCTCTCCTGAAGCGCTTCATCAGGCGCTGTCGTTTAAAGAGATTGCTTTATGACAGAGATCCAGCAATAATTCTGACCGATGGAAACACTGGGAATAATGCTGGGGGTAACTCTACATGTGTGCATGAAACAACTCAATCACATTTGACTTCATAGAGAAAATGATCATTATGCAGCACAGATTCGTTTTGGATTGAATGAGACCTTTTGGAGTTACAGTGACCCAAAATACATGCATGTTTTTATTGCATATTTAAGTGTCATTTATCATAAAGAGTGATGCACAAACACACTTTCCTGGCTTTTTAAAAAGAAGAAATGATCATAATGCAATGCAATCCTGTCAAGTTACAAGACCCAAAAGTAAATGCATATAAAGCATATTTATTTATATTTTAATCAGGTTGTTTCAAAGCAGAGCCACATTAATAAATAACACAATCAATGATGCAAAAAAGTCAGTTGATTCAACTGAATCAAGTCAAATGTCTTCAAATGTAAAGCTAGAAGTGTGTTTGTGCATCTTCCTTACAATAAATGATGCTTGCTGTGCTTTGTCAAATAATGCAATGACATTCACACATGCATGAACTAAATTGCATTTAATAATGACTCTATTGTCTTCTGTAGAGCTGCTTGTTGCTAAAATTGATTGCATCAGTGATGCAAAATTGAGCAAATATGAGGCAAATTCAGATTCTGCTGTAAAGCAATGCAAAAAAAGGACACTAGTGTCATTATTTAGCTCAATCCAGTTCAGTATGATTCAGTTCATTTCAATAACTGTAAAGTGAATCACTTTCCTGGCTTTTTCAAGGAAGAAATTCGCATCATGTAGTGCAATCCTGAACATATTTTATTTTAATTTTAATAGCGCTATATATAATACAGATTATTTCAAAGCAGTTCACAAAAGTAAACAGGAAAATAACTGAATCGGTGATGCCTACAAGCCAGTTGATTCAATTGAATCAAGTCAGCGTTGATTCAGTTCAGCTCAATAACTGTGTGAACTTCATCAATCATGAAACAAATTCAGTTTTTATCTATAAGCAGTTCTACAGAAGACAATAGAGTCATTATTCAGCTCAGTTCAGTTCATGCATGTGTGTGTGAATGTCATTGCATTAGATGACGAAGCAAAGCTAGTGGCATTTATTGTAAGAAAGGATGCACTGAACACTTTAATGGCTTTTAAAAGAAGTTTGTAAATGATAAATTAGTGTTGCGAATGAAGGCAGATGTGTTGTAGAAGTCTGTGTGGTCACGCCTCGCTCTTGTTAGCAGATACAGTGCAGATGTTTTTCCTGAAGTGTGTAAGTCATCTCTTGAAGTGTGTGTTGTGTTTATGAAGCTGCGCTCATGTATAATTCACCGATGCTCTGGAGGAAGTTCTGCTTGCTTTTCTTAAGCGTGTTTGCGAGCGCCGCTCCGTCGCTGAGACCAGAATAATTGAGTGAAATCTCCCAGAGGTGATTTTTACACCAAAGGGATTGCAGTGATCTCATAATGCTCTTTTATGTGGAGACTAGGGCTGGGCGATATAGCTAAAAAATGTATCAACAATATAATGCTTCATATCGTTCGGTATCGATAATTATTGACATTTTTTATAACCTTTTTTAAAACAAAGAGCAATTGAAAAAAACGTTTATATTTAACCACTGTATTTATAATTAACACAATTTATTGAGACAAACAACAAATATTTTTTTTTGTTTTAACAGTCAAACACACAATAAAAATTTAACAAATATCTCATCTCTAATGTTTTATATGCAGATTAAATAGGTCTGAAGGAAACTTTTGTCGTGTCTCCCGAGGCCACAGGAGGGCGCAATGAGCAAAATAATGCAGCGCATTTAAATTGTCAACGCAAGGAAATAACTGTCTATAAAACACGTGCATTACGTCTAAATTAACTCACATAAATCAAACATAATTTAGTAAATTGCATAAACAGTTATGAACAAAACAGCATCGTGTATTTATGCATTGCTTAATACAAAGGGCCGAATCAATTATGAACAAAACAGCATCATGTATTTATGCATTGCTTAATCCAAAGAGCCGAAGCGCCATTCACACAGACTGCATTTAAAAACATATGAGACGCAGTGAAAAGGAATAAACCTCTACAAATTCGTGACGTGTTTTCTAAAAGTTTAAACTGTTTTAACTGTGCATGGCTACATCTCGCGAGTGCAGCAGTCATATTTGTCCGTCTAAAAACACGCTGAATATGCGTTCTGTGTGAATGGCTTGGTTTGGGTTTTAACCTAATCGAGATCTTCTCCGCATCGAGCTTCTATATTGCTCTAATATTGTGAATGAATAACGCAGCAGCGGCGCGTCTCGTGGGCTAGACTAACAAAACATTAAAATGCAACAACGTCACTCACATCATCATCACCGCATCTCGCGCGCCGCTGATGACGCTCCCTGACGCACTCCTAACATTCAAATGCAAATGTTTATTTTAAATTCGACTAATATTCATTCTTTATTCACAATCTCCTCATCACAGGCAGGCATTTCAGCACGTGTTCGTGTTTGTTTGTGTGTGCTGTCTGCGTCACTTATAGCACGTGCCTATATCGTGCGCTATATCGAACAATTTTTCTATCGTTATCGAAGAAGGTGTACCGTCGATAAATATCGATACCGTTTTATCGCTCAGGCCTAGTGGAGACGTTTATTAGGATGGCTTGAGAAACTCTGTGGTGAATCAGAGAAGTTGTGCTTGTTAAAACATGATCTCATGTTAACGTCTCGTGTTCGTATTCTTCCCTTTGGTCCAAAAGAAGCCGGATTCAGAGGAACCGCCGGCCGAACCTTCAGCTAGAGACACCAAAGAGCAGACGGAGGAGACTTCAGAAACCCCGTCCTCAGACGTGTCCACCGTCACCTCCAACCCCGCAAGCTCAAATCACACAGAAACCCATGTAGGAACACTGCAGAACATGATTTATAAATGATTCGTTCATGTAAAGAACCTGTTAAAATAAGGATTTCATTGTTCTCAGATTCAAGCCAAACTATGAATATTTAAATCCTTTTAAATCCTTTTTTTATTGATTTATTGCATTGCCTAATGATACCCGGTTATTAAGCAAATGCTTGTTAATATAAGCAGACATATGCCAACTATGAGGAAACATGATGTTCTTCCTCAGTATCTTTGACCTTTTCTCCATTACAAATATCTTAACTTTCATAGTACGTTCAAAGTCCATATATGATTTTCTCATTCCTGGTCCATTTTAACCTGAAGTTTGAACAGTCATAACTTAGTTCTCAACTAAAACCATATTGTATCTGATCAGCAACTTCTCATTATTGAGTGAATGTGAAAAAATATTTTTACTGCATGTATTCCTTTTTGATTATTTAAAAATTGAGAAATTCCTTGAAAATGTAAAAATACACATGAGCCACACCAAAACAACTATGATGCAAAATATGTATATATTTTTTCCAATATTTCTGAGAAACTTTATTTGAATATGTCATGCTATGAAATTTATAAAAGCATATCATCTGAGAATTTCCAGTATTATTGGAATTAATGGAATTTAATTAAACTCATGATTGCTCAAAAACAATCCAAATTTACCTGCTTATTTATTTCTAACAAAACAACATAAATATTACTCTGAAAAATGTTAAAACAAAATAAATTCATGTTACTTCCATAAGCTTTGACTTTCAGATGAAAAAATTGATCAATTTTTCATGCCGCAGTGGTTCATCAGTAGATGTACATATTCATGTACATCAATAAAATTCAGTCCCAAAAGTTTGTGAAATATGAAGAAAAGACTAAATATATATTTTTAAAGTTTTTTGACACTAATTTAACTTAACAGATAAAAAAAAGTATTTTTGACACTAACGGTGCTCCATACATACCCGGGTCAAAAATGACCCGAACACAAAACATGATTATACCTCTTAAAAAATTATTGTAAAAAATCTGAAAAAAATAAATGATGTGTATTTTGAGGGTCTTAAAGCATTTGCAAAGTTTCCTTCCCTTACTAAAAACTATGCATTTGTTAGAGTTTACTTATGTGTCTCTTCCGGGTCAAAAAAGATACATTTTGAGACGTAAATCTATTAGATATGAAATCTTGTTTACAGAAAAATCTACCAAAATGAAGTGAGTTTATGCCAAAAACAAGAAAAAATAACCGTCAGTGAGATCAGAAAACGAAACAATTCAAAGGAATGCGATTATTTGTTCTTGTTTTAAGCATAAACTCGGCTAATGTTGATACATTTTTCAGAAATCAAGACGTAATACCTAAAGCCATTTTGCTTCTCAAATAAATGTATCTTGATTTAAGAACGTTTAGATATTTGTACTGAAAAACGAGACAAAAATACTGAGGAAGAACATCATGTTTCCTCATAGTTGGCATCTGTCTGCTTATATTAACAAGCTTGCTTAATAACCGGGTTTCATTAGGCAATGCAATAAATTAATAAAAAAGGATTTAAATATTCATAGTTTGGGTAGAATTTCAGAGCCAAAAATCATTATTTTAAGAGGTTCTTTTTGTAAACAAATCATTTATAATTCATGACTAATGATTCATTTTGGATGTTAAAGTAGATATTGTTTACAGGCCTAAAACTGCAGGCTAATGAGGCGTTGTGTGTGTGGATGTGATGTTAACGAGCTCTCGCTGAGCCGCTTCTGTGATGTTTTGCAGACTGAGAGTTCGGGCATCGGGACAGAGAAATCGTCCAGTCCTGAGAGCGACTCGAACCCGCTCAGCTCCAGCAGCTCCAATGAACAGGTCGTGCCAAACCTCCTGAAGGTGAATATGGCATCATATACATATAATTTAGCATTTTTATGCCTTTCGTTGGGAAAGCCGGGACACATGAGCCACACCAAAACAACTATGATGCAAAATATGTATATATTTTTTTCCAATATTGCTGGGATATTTTATTTGAATATGTCATGCTATGAAATTTATAAAAGCATATAATCTGAGAATGACCAGAATTAACCCTATTGGAACTAATGGAATTTCATTAAACTCATGATTGCTCAAAAACAATCCAAATTTATTTCATTTTATTTGAGAAGTTAAATGACTATTAGGTATTATTAAATAAATTAAATATTAAGTCTTGTTTTCTGAAAAATCTACCAAAATGATTTATGATTAAAAAAAAGAAAAAAACATCAGTGCAGTAAGAAAAATAAACTTAATTCAAAGGAAAAACAAGATTATTTTTCAGACCCCATTGGAAAATATTTGTTCCTGTTTTAAGCATAAACTCACTTAATTTTAATTTTGATAATTTTTCAGAAAACAAGACTTAATATCTTAAGTCATTTTGCTGCTCAAGTAAATGTATCTTGATTTAAGAATTTTTAATGTTTGTGACACAGTTATTATGGTTAACTAATACTAAAACAATTAAAAAAACATTTGTTACTTGAAATAAAATAAACTTTAACTGAAATAAAATAACTAAAATTAAAATGAATGAAAACTATATAGACATTTTTAAAAACGAATAAAAATTGCAAAAAAAATTTTAAACTTTAAAATAAACATGAAAGCAAAAAATATATAAATAAAATCTAATTTGAAATATTAACAAAATCTATAATAGTATCGCAGTAATACTAAAATTGTCACGCCCTTGGACTGCCCCTGTGTTCCTGTCTTGTGTTGTGCTCCCCATGTTCTCCCTGTGACCCAGTTTCTCCCGTGCTTGATTGTGTCCATTTGGTTCAGGTGCGTCTTAGTAATTACCTCGTTGAGTTCCTGTTTCTTAAGCCCTGTGTTTTCCTGTGTCCTGCATTCAACTCCATGTTCTACGTGTGTGTTACCCTGTTTTTGTTCATTAAAGTCTCTTCGTGGATTCTCCCATGTCTGCGCGTCTCCTTGCTCCAACACAGTAGGCAGATCGTGACAGAACACCGAACCGTAAAACAGTAAGCGGCGCCCCTTCTCCCCAGTTTTGTTTCCGGTTTTGAAAGTCTTTTTTTCCCTCAGTTCAAATGGAAACCGCCACGAGATTCGCCGCCCTAGCCCGCAAGGATCTCCCATTTGTAGAATTCGCCTGGGAATTCTGCTGGCTCGCTGTGATGATGGGATTGGATGATGCCACGCTTAATTTGTTGTGCCAATTACCATCGCCCCGTGGACCTCCCAGACACCACTGGACTGAGCTGGAGGGAAGGTATCCTCCGGTGTCTGGAGAGCGTTCCCCCATCCAGAACCAGCTCTACGTCAAGCCCGCCGGCCGTTCTGTTGTCAAGTCAGCAGGCCGCTCCTTTGTCAAGCCCGCCGGCTGCTGAACTCTCAAGCCCGCTGGCTGCTCCGAAGTCAAGCCTGCCGGCCATTCCATTGTCAAGCCCCTGAGTCCGCTCAAGTGTCGGCTCCAGCCCCTGAGTCTGCTCCAGTGTTGACTCCAGCCCCTTAGTCTGCTCAAGTTTCGGCTCCAGCCACCAGCTCTACGTCAAGCCCGCCGGCCGTTCTGTTGTCAAGTCAGCAGGCCGCTCCTTTGTCAAGCCCGCCGGTTGCTGAACTCTCAAGCCCGCTGGCTGCTCTGAAGTCAAGCCCGCCGGCCGTTCCATTGTCAAGCCCGCTGGCCGCTGAACTCTCAAGCCCGCTGGCTGCTCCGAAGTCAAGCCTGCCGGCCATTCCATTGTCAAGCCCCTGAGTCCGCTCAAGTGTCGGCTCCAGCCCCTGAGTCCGCTCCAGTGTTGACTCCAGCCCCTTAGTCTGCTCAAGTTTCGGCTCCAGCCACTGAGTCCGCTCAAGTGTCGGCTCCAGCCCCTGCTCAAGTGTCGCTCCAGCCCCTGAGTCCGCTCCAGTGTCGGCTCTAGCCCGTTCCCACGTCCAGCCCAGAGAGGGCTTCTATTCCCACATCCAGCCCAGAGAGGGCTTCTGTTCCCAAGTAAAGCCCAGAGAGGGCTCCTGTTCCCACATCCAGCCCAGAGAGGGCTCCTGTTCCCAAGTTAAGCCAAGAGAGGGCTCCTGTTACCACGTACCGCCCAGAGTGGGCTGCAGTTCCCAATTCAAGCCCAGGGAGGGCCGTTGTTCCCACGCCTGTAGCACGGATGGCCTCAGAACCCAAAATGTCCCGGGTGGCTATAGGGCTCCGGCCGTAGAGGCCGGGCCGAGTGCCAAGGCCAAGGCAATGGAGGCCACACCACCATGGCTCCCTAGTCTGCCTGGAGGCCTTCTGTCCCGAGTTAAGCCTGTCCCTAGAGGCCTCCAGAGCGCCCACCTCCCCTCCCCGTTGGATGTTATGAGGCGCGTGGACGTGCCTTCCGGGAGGGGGAGGTAATGTCACGCCCTTGAACTGCTCCTGTGTTCCTGTCTTGTGTTGTGCTCCCCATGTTCTCCCTGTGACCCAGTTTCTCCCGTGCTTGATTGTGTCCATTTGGTTCAGGTGCGTCTTAGTAATTACCTCGTTGAGTTCCTGTTTCTTAAGCTCTGTGTTTTCCTGTGTCCTGCATTCGGTTTTATACGTCAACTCCATGTTCTATGTGTGTGTTACCCTGTTTTTGCTCATTAAAGACTCTTTGTAGATTCATCTCACATCTCCGTGTCTCCTCGCTCCTACACAGTAGGCAGATCGTGACAAAAATAACACTGATCAAGTGAAATATAAAAAAACTTAAACTTCTTTTATTTCAACTAGTTGCCAAGGCAACATTTCTCATTTTTATTTAGTTTAACTTGATACGCTAAAATTACTAAAACTAAATCTGAAATACAAATGAATTAAAACTATATTGACAAACAAGTAATAAAATTACAAAAACACAACAAAATTTACAAAAATTATGAATATAAAAACTAATTCAAACAATACTATAACACTCAGTTCTATAGGAAAATAAGAGAAAAAATATGAATAAAATTATTTTCTGCAGTGAAGTGTTAAATCAACCAGACACAAATGATTTTCCTCAAATCAATGTATATTTTAATTTCTCTCTCTAGGAAGCTTCATCTGAAGGGTTGGACGAATCGCAGACACCATGTCCGGATGTTCAGTGTCCAGATCGAACGCCGCCTCCCGATTCCTCCAGCGACAAGGAGGATGCGCACAGAAAAAATATGAATAAAATTATTTTCTGCAGTGAAGTGTTAAATCATCCAGACACAAATGATTTTCCTCAAATCAATGTATATTTTAATTTCTCTCTCTAGGAAGCTTCATCTGAAGGGTTGGACGAATCGCAGACACCATGTCCGGATGTTCAGTGTCCAGATCGAACGCCGCCTCCCGATTCCTCCAGCGACAAGGAGGATGCGCACGCGGTTCGACATCCTCACCCCGAGTCCGGCTTGACCTCTGACCCCCTGAACGAGATTCCCAAGGATCAGCCGGCTCTGTACGGCACTCTGAATGCTCACGGCGTCACACTCATGCACGGATTACCCTTCCACCCGTCCTTTCCCTCCCGGACCTACTTACCCGAGAACTGCTACACGCTGCCGCTCCACCGGGACAGTTTCGTCCGCGGCGGTGCTTCCAAACCGGATCAAGAGGGCACAGACCTGCGCTCCGCCGTGCATCACATGAGGCCGACACTGGACCTCACGGCAGACGAGCACCTGGGGCCGCTGCCGCTGCACGCGTATTTCCAGGACCTGTACCGCACGCAGACGCTCATCCCGCAGAAACGCGCCAGCATGGTGAGCCTCGACACCATCCGCAAGGATCCGCGCTGGCGGGACCCGAACCTGCGGGAGGTCATCTCCATGTTGAGCCACCCCATGGACCCGGTGAAGTCCAACGCCGCCGCGTATCTGCAGCACCTCTGCTACGAGAACGACACGGTCAAGCAGGACATCCGTCAGCTCAGAGGAATCCCCGTCCTGGTGGGGCTCCTGGATCATCCCAAAGCCGAGGTCCACCGCAAGGCCTGCGGTGCGCTGAGGAACATCTCCTTCGGCCGAGACAACTTCAACAAGGTGGCCATCAAGAACTCAGACGGCATTCCTGCGCTGCTGAGACTCCTGAGGAGATCCGACGACGTGGAAGTCCGAGAGCTCGTCACAGGTTCATCTCCTTTATTTATTTATGTAGCGCTTTTAACAATACAGATTGTGTCAAATAACTGTACAGCATTACTTAGGAAAATAGTGTGTCAATAATGCAAAAGGACAATAGTAAACACTCAGTTAGTTCAGTTAAAGGCAGTTCATTATTAAATTCAGTGATGTCATCGTCCAGCTCAGTTCAGTTTCATTAGTATCTGTGCAATCAAGTCGACGATATCGCTGGAAATTAAGTGTCCCCAACTAAGCAAGGCAGAGGCGACGGCAGCAAGGAACCAAAACTCCATCGGTGATAGAATGGAGAAAAAACCTTGGGAGAAACCAGGCTCAGTCGGGGGCAGTTCTCCTCTGGCCAGATGAAACCAGCAGTTCAATTCCAGGCTGCAGCAAAGTCAGATTGTGCAGAGGACTCATCTGGTTCCTGTGGTCTTGTCCCGGTGGCCATCTCTGCATTCATGCTTTCAACTGCACTACTGCTCAAAACTTGAAAGAAATTAATACTTTTATTCATCAAGGATGCATTAAATTGATCAAGACATTTATAATGTTAAGATTTCTATCTCAAATAAATGTGAGGTTTGTGCAGCTTCTTGTAAATTAATCAGTGTGTTTTATTTAGAAATTTGGGATCAGAGTCATGAGAAATTTAACGATTCTGGTTCAGATTCCAATCGGGGTTATTATAGATAACTAAAAGTGAAACTAAAACCAAAACCATAAAAACATTTTTGTTACTTGAAATAAAATAAATGTTAACTGAATAAAGCAAAATTTAAAAAACTTAAACTTATTTTATTTCTGCTACTTGACTACTTGACATTTTAATTTAGTTTAACTTAAACTGAAATAAAAAATGTATAAAAACTATATAGACATTTAAAAACCAAAAAAATGACAAAAACACAAAGTTACTAAAACTTTAACTAAAATGAAAACAGAAAATACAAAAATAAAATCTAATTCTAAATAATAAAAACTATAATAGTATCTCAATTATATTAAAATAACACTGATTCCAATGAACAATTTCATTGGAACGATGAAAAAAATTAATACTTTTATTCATCAAGGACACATAAAATTAATCAAAAGTGACAGTAAAGACATTTATAATGTGACAAAAAATTATATTTCAAATAAATGCTGTTCTTTTGAACTTTCTATTCATCTGTGAATCCTGAAAAATAAAGTGAATCACAGTTTCCACAAAAATATTGTGCAGCACAACTGTTTTCAACATTGATAATAATCAGAAATGTTTCTTGAGCAGCAGATCAGCATATTATACTGATTTCTGAAGATCATGTGACACTGAAGACTGCAGTAATGATGCTGAAAATACAGCTGCGCATCACAGAAATACATTACAGTTTAACAGATATTCACATAGAAAACTGCTTTTTAAATTATAAAAATATTTCTCTATTTTTGATCAAATAAATGCAGCCTTGGTGAGCAGAAGAGACTTCTTTTCTTCTCTTCTGTTTGAGCTACAGAAACACTTCCATTAACAAACTTAACTGGTCACGAGCACTGAAGTGAAGTGAAGTGAAGTGAACTATCAAACCTGCCCAAAACCGGCCCGGGAATGGAATTGTTCTTTGTTGTGGAGAATGTAAACAGACTCTCCTTATTTTTCCTCATGTGTTTCTCAGGAACGCTGTGGAATATCTCCTCCCATGAGCCTCTGAAGATGATCGTCATCAACCACGGCCTGCAGACGCTGACCGACGAGATCATTATTCCTCACTCGGGTTTGAGAGGAGACCCGAACGACCCGGCCCGACCCGGGGACCCGGAGTGGAACACGGTCTTCAAGAACACTTCAGGATGCTTGAGGTTCGCTTTCTCTGTGCCTCAAATGAACCCTCGTAATGCATTCAAAATCTGTGACTATGTTCTCATTCTGGGTCCGTTTGGACCAGAAGAATCATTTTATTTTATAAAACAGTCATAACTAGAGGTCGACCGATAGTGGATTTTACCGATACCGATAACTAGGTTGGACCATAACCGATTAATCAACCGATAGTTTGTAAAATGGATACTGTATATGAAAACTAAAACAGTGCTGAACTTTATTACACACACAAAGTACTGAGCCATACTTTTCATAGGGAATAAAAAAAATCATATGAAATATTAATTATACATTGGTCATTAATGTTAGTTAACAAATGCAACTTTGCAGTAAAATTAAAAAAAATTTTTTTTTAAATTAAACACTCTAACAATGAACAATACTTTTACAACTTCATTAACCGTAGTTAATGTTACAAATGGAATCTTGATGTAAAGTGTTTCCATTTCATATAAATCCAAAGAGTCATGTTTAAAGATGATGCATGATATTTAAGCATTATATTTAAGAAATTACATATATTGTATGTATACTCTCACATTTTATTTGCTTAAATTTTAGAACACTTGATGATCTAATCAAAATAACATGATATGATAACTCGCAGGTATCACACACCGTTCAGTTCAAGCAGCGGTCTAAAACAGTTTATTTAATCACCAAACGGGTAAAAGTTCACTTCAGAAATGTATAAGGTGGCACAGATGAGTTTGAAGTTCGGTGTTTGAAAAAACAGAGCAAATGGAAAGAGAAAGCATGATCTATTAGACTTTATTAGAGCCACAGAAAGACAAACGTTTCGCTGAGAAATGCACAATACACAATTTTACAGCCTATGGTGAAGTCATAATGTACATTAACAATGATTTGGGGCAAATCTAATGTAATTTAATGAAAACTGTGTGAATGGCGCTCTGTGACGCGGCAGGATTTCTGTCACTGAATGAATTTATCAGTTTGCTTTCTCACGTCACGGCATTAAATCTGCAGCTTCACTGGATAACAAATGCATTAAAGTGTGTGAGCAGCTGGATAAACTAATGCAAATAGATGGTAGCAATCCTGACATTAAACATTAAACATGGCAGCGGATGTTCAGCCGCTCCAGCAAAGGACACAACCCGGAAAAACTATCGACATGGATTTTTTGCGATAGTTCCAGGCTTACTATCGGTGCCGATTAATCGGCAAAACCAATCAATCGTTCGACC